GATTTAGTTTAGATATGCACGCAGAGGGGAGCCATGTTAAGGATGTCTACTTTGCAAGGGCCAGTCTAGAAGTTCTCCGCATCCTCTGATTGAGAGCTAGCTTGCTCCTCTTATACTGAAGCAGGAATTGATTAGTTTCCACCCGTTGCTTCTTGTCCTGCCCTTACTCGGGTGGTTTGCAGAATGGCTTGACTCCCTCTTCTTTGAGGCAGCCCCTCAGATATTGGAACACTGCTATCATGTCTCCCCTAGTCCTTCTTTTCATCGGACGAGACGTACTCAGTTCCTGCCACCGTTCTTCATATGTTTTCTCCTGCAGTCCCCTAATCCTCTTAGTTGCTCTTCTCTGCCCTCTTTCTAGAGTCAACATTTTTTTTATGTCATGGCGACCAAAACTGAATGCAGTATTATTCCAGGTGTGGCCTTCCCAAGGCTAATTATTAAGTGGTATTAACACTTCACGTGATATGATTTGTTGGAGGACAGGTGATTCTTCCCCTACCGAACTCCCAGCTACCTATTTTCAAGGAGGCTTTGACAAAGGTAACCCCCACTGTCTCCCTTCTTCTGGTGCAGGTCTCGGCTGATTCCAGTTCCTCCATGAACTCGGGTGTGATGCTTGTGCGTCCCTCAAGGCTCTCCTCCAGTGGGACCCCAATGCTGACCGGGGTCTCGGAATACGAGCTTCCAGAGGACCCTCGCTGGGAATTGCCCAGGGACAGGTACCAAATGCTCCTCTTAATTCTGGAAGGGCTCAGCCAAAGAGGCATGTCTAATGTTTTAAAGCAGCTATATAGAAAGTATAAATCTATATATATATATAAGCAAAATACCACTCATGCATCATCACCAAGTCTCCAGAACCATAAATTGGGCACGTATGTTCCTCTTGGCTTCTAGGGGCTCACTAAGAAAGGATTTTTCAAAATGACCATCAGAGCATTAGCATTTCCTATATTATTATTATCATTAACACGCTCTGATGCTAAGGAGTTCTACCCCCGCCCTCCCGAAAAGAAATCTGTTCCAAATGCAAAACACAAGCCGAGGAGAGGAGTCTCAATTTCATAGCAGCAAGCAGCTTTAGTACAGAACAGTTGAGCTAAGCCACGCCCAGGCTCCTTGCTGTCTCCTTCTTGCTCACACAGCAAATACTGTTTCAGTTTCCAAAAGGCCCTCAATCTCTCACACGCTGACAGGACCTAACCAGATGAATACCGGTGGATGCTGGTAGGCAGAGGCAGAATTTTTCCCCCCTTATTTTCCTCCCCAAAAACTAAGCCCGATCACATGGTTTCGTAGCAAAGCATGGGTATAGAGCTAGTGCAATTATAAACTGAAAAAGGAGAGGCAGAAAAATTCCAGAAACATTATGCTATTTTCCATAAGAAGGGTCTTTAAAAACAAAACAAAACAGTGCATTCAGGATAACATTTCTGAACCATCAATCAGAGGAATTTTTTTTAGCATGAAGTGAGGGAGACCCTTTAAGTATTTCTGGTAGTCCTTGACTTTATGACCATAACCGAGCCCAAAAATTTCTGTTGCTAAGGTGGAACATTTATTCAGTTAATTTTGCCCCATTTTACGACCTTTCGTGCCACCGTTGTTAAGTGAATCACTGCAGTTGTTAAGTTAGGAACACAGTCTTTAAGTGAATCTGGCTTTCTCGTTGACTTTGCTTGTTAGAAGGTTGCAAAAGGAGATCGCCAAAGGACACTGCAGCCGTCATAAATATGAACCAAATGTCTTAATTTTGGTCACACGATCTTGGGGATACTACAACAGTCATAAGTGTGTGAAAAATGGTCATAAGTGACTTCTCAGCCACTGTAACTACGAACGGTCACTTAACAAATTTGTAAGTTGAGGACTACCTGTACTGAGGACATGTCCTGGGGAATAATTTCTTTGCTCGCTCTTTCAAGTGCGTCAAAGAATGCCAAGACTGTAGAATTTGGAAGGGATGTATCCAAAGGTTGGCAAAAATCCAAATCTCTTTCTAAAATTACCCCTTTCTTGTGCACTTGGCATTTCTTATTTTGTTCCCTGAGAGGAATTACATTGAACAAAGACTAGAATAAAATGTCAAATATCAGATTCCCTTCAAAACAAAACAAAAGCAGACCTTTGCAATCTGTCTGTACCCAATTGCAGATGTTACATTTTTGAAATCCTGCTCATCAAAAATCCCCATACGTAAGTTAATCGTATAATGGGGACTGTTTGAGAGGGTCAGTATTTAAAATATTTTCTTGTAGGTCCTGAAGTTTTTGTTAGGATTGCCTGTGCTTAAGAAATCTGTTTCTTCTCTTTAATATTTTGTTACAGGTACAAAAATTCATTTAGTGGCCATTCAAAGTCACCACAGCACTAAAAAAAGTGACTAATTTTGTGTCTCAGCTAGCTGTCAGGATTTTGGCACTTAACCCCAATTAAATCATGAGTCTCAAGCCAAATTTCCAAAGCTTCAACAGGATTTATTGGGAGTTAACATGTCCGGCGCTGCCTGGGTGTAGCCAACTCTGAGACACATCATTCATTGTCAACCTTGACCCTGGTTTTCCCCCCACCTGCTGGGTGTATCATAATTCAGATTCTCCAATGGGACACATCCATAGCCAAGAGTCATCAATCATGCTCTCCAGTTAGAATTTTGCGCAGCAGAAACTTCATCACCTAGTTACTGTCTCTGAAAAACTATTTATGGAATGCATTTTTGATTTCTAAACTGCCACACTGCTCTTTTCCCAGGGACCAAAGACCCTGGGAAAATCCCCCAAAAAGTCTACAGGAAAATCCCCCATCCCATTTTCCTACCGATCGATCATTCTTTATTTGGGATCGCAGGCTACAGTCTCCAGCTCCATTCTCAAGGGGAAAGAGAGAGAGAGACTTTTGGCTTCATGAAAGGAAAACAGCAGAAGCAGAAGTCTTTTCTTTCTCTCCCCCAAATTCCACCAGAAATGAGCCTTTGTGAGACTTGTCCCGCAGCCTCTTGGAGCAGGAGGCCTTGCAGGGTCCCAAAGACTCATTTCTGGAGGAGTTTGGGGGAGAGAAAGGAAGACTTTTGCTGCTTTCCTTGTGTGCAGCCAAAAGGAGAAGAAGAAAGAAGCAGAAAGAAGCAGCCCGGTGGCCAGGCAAGGTGCATTGGGCAAGTGGGGGCAAGTTCCTCCCTCCATCCTTTCCCCCCATCCCCTCACTACCTCGTGTTGTTCGCAATGCAAGCGACGCAAGCCTTGTGTTCCCGCACAGCCTGGATTGGTTAGTTAGTTTACTTTATCGCCATTGCACCTCGTACAATGAAATTAAGCACCATCTTCAGTGCACATCATGACCATGAAAATAAACACAAACACACATCCTTCACACCCCACATTAATTGCTTGGGGGGGGGTTGCTTTGCAGGTGACATTTCTCTGCAAACCACCCCAAAATTTTCCCGCGAACCACCAGTGGGCCCACTGGTTGGCGACCACTGTTCTACAAAAAGTCTCTGAGAGGAGTAGTGAGATATTTGTTGGATAATACAGATAGTATCACTGAACAGAAAGCCAAAAAAAAGCAATGTAGACCCACACTGCAACCTTATCGGCTGAGCTTTGGTGAATTTCCTGCGGAGATTAGCAGCATCCTGTTAAATAACCGTGTTTCTTTGCTTTTATTCTAGGCTGATTCTAGGAAAACCCCTGGGAGAAGGTTGCTTTGGACAAGTGGTACTGGCTGAAGCAATAGGCTTGGATAAAGACAAGCCAAATCGAGTTACTAAAGTGGCTGTCAAAATGTTAAAATGTAAGTAAGGTTACAGTTTTATTTCTAAGTCATCCCCCCTCCCAAAAAAACCCCTCCTTGTTTGCTTCTTGCAAGAAGCTCTTGATGAAAGTCGTCTTGTTCTGTTCGACGCCTTTTGAGTCTTTTAATATTTGAACTTATTTTAACCTGTACATGGGAATATCTATTCTTTCACATCAACCAATGACTACAGTTTCGGGTGAATTTCAAACCTCCTTCAATGTGTGTGTGTATCCAGGTGTGTGTGTGTGTGTGGCTGTGTCAGGAATACATATACATATAGACACTATGGATGATTTGAAGTTCACTGAAAGTGCAGTTTTCATATATGAACAGCTGTGGTGGTGCAGTGGTTAGAATGCAGTACTGCAGGCTAGTTCTGCTGACTGATGGCTGTCAGCAGATCGATCCTGACCGGCTCAAGATTAACTCAGCCTTCCATCCTTCCCAGGTTGGTAAAAATGAGGACCCAGATTGTTGGGGGCAAGAGGCTGACTCTGTCAACTGCTTAGAGAGGGCTGTAAAACACTATAAAGCGGTATATAAGTTTAAATGCTAATGCTATTAATAGGAGAGTTATTTCAACCAGACACTTCCAGTATCTTGACCTCCCTTCAATGCATCTTGGACTCAATGAAGACTTGGTATGTTTTTCCTCCCTAGCTGATGCCACTGAAAAAGACCTGTCTGACTTGATCTCGGAGATGGAGATGATGAAGATGATTGGAAAACACAAGAACATCATCAACCTCCTTGGAGCATGTACTCAAGACGGTAAGTCTTTCTAAGGTGGGAGGCAGTAGTAGCTCCATGACAGAAGTCCTACTTTGGAGGAAAAAGCTCTGGGGTTCATTCTTTGGCATCTTCAATCGGCCATCACCCCAGATGGCCTGCTAGGTACCAGAAATGATACACATGAATTGAATTGGGATGGTGACCGTATCGCTGTCTCTGCTTAAAGCTTCTTGTCTTCCTCTACGACAGGCCCGCTCTATGTGATAGTAGAGTATGCATCCAAGGGGAACCTAAGGGAATACCTGCAAGCCCGCCGCCCTCCTGGCATGGAATATTGCTATAACCCCACCCACGTCCCAGAAGAACAGCTCTCTTTCAAAGACCTGGTATCCTGTGCATACCAGGTGGCCAGGGGCATGGAATACCTTGCATCTAAAAAGGTGAGCAACTGCAAAAGGCAAGAATGATAGACTTTGAACAGCGGTGGTCAGGGGACTAGCACCTTGTGAGGTTTAAGAGCCTCAGAGAAATAAGTTAGGGTGCCAAAACAGAAAAGATGAAGATGCCTTAGAAAAAAGGTGGGATTTTAATAAAGGAGAATATTCGTAGCTCAGGGTTGAAATGAGGGGCCCTTGGTGTTCTCTGAGCTTGGTTGTTTTCTTGCAGACGTTTCATTACCCAAACTAAGTAACTCTTGTGGCCTGTCAACAGCCAGCGGAGCTGGTGGCAGACTCAGACAATGAGGAGGTTGAGGAGAAACATGGGCCAGTCCTGGAGTGTGGGGAGGGCTCTGCATTGGGGGCAGAGATGGGCCCAGGGCTGTCTGACAGTTATCAGCTGCCTTTGGAGTCAGAGATCAGTGGGGAAGAAGAACAGCTGGAGCCTGTTCCCAGTGTGTGCATGCACAGAGCTGCCAGAAGAAGGGAACAGCTAAGGAACAAGGGTCGACTGGGGAGTAGAGCCACAGGTGGATGGTGAATAGCCCCTCCCATAGGTAATAAAGAGGAGCAAAAGGGAATGGTGGTTGAAGGAGACAATGACAGACGGCAGTTCTCTCTTCTTGAAAGCTTCCAGTGATGAAGCTCCTATAACTTCTGGAGGCAACTTCTGTTCCATTAGTTGATTGTCCTCACTATCTTAAGATCACAATTAAGTGAATTACTGCGGTTACTAAGTCAGGAACACGGTTGTTAAATAAATCTCTTGAGGTCGCAAAAGGGGACCAAATGAGCTCAGAACCCTGTGCCGGTCATAAATATGAATCAGTTGCCAAGCATCCGAATTTTGATCATGTGACCATGGGGAATGCTACAATGGTTCCAAGTGTGAGAAACAGTCATAAGTCATTTTTTTCAGTGCCATTGTAACTTGAAGTGGTCACTAAATGAAGTTGAGGATTACCTGTAATTGTATAGATTTGCTTGGCTTGTGTCATTTTTTTGTCTTAACATACCCTTTTAACGAGATATGTTTTTTGTTGAGTTATCTATAAAAATAAATGAAGACAGGATACCAATAAACAAAGAAGAATCCAGTGGATTTACTTATCTTCAGTCTCAACCCTTTTAGCTCTGCCTTCCAGGAATTGCTCCATTGTAATAAATCTGATATGGTCTGTGTTTTTCTCTTTAGTGTATTCACCGAGATTTGGCCGCCAGGAATGTGCTGGTAACAGAAGACATTGTGATGAAGATTGCTGATTTTGGCCTTGCGCGAGACATTCATCACATAGATTATTACAAAAAGACAACCAATGTGAGTCGCACCTCTTAAAGGAGGCCCAAATTATTCCATTGTCAAGCATTCCAGAGAGCTCAGTAGGAAGGAGGGATATAAGAAGGGATATGGAAATTTGCAGAACGTTTCAGTGATGTAGACCTTAAAGAAAAGGGGAAGGAAGGAAGGAAGGAAGGAAGGAAGGAAGGAAGGAAGGAAGGAAGGAAGGAAGGAAGGAAGGAAGGAAG